AAACTTGCTTTTGCTTATAAAAATATGGCTTTAAGTGTCCTCTATACGATGGTGACAACCGCAGGCCGCTAAGACCTTTCGTTAAAAAGCTATTTGGAAAACGGCAACCGGCACGACCTTTCCGTTTCGATAGTAAAACTGACCATTACTGATGAGAGTTGCACGTTAAACGAAGTGGGTTGATATTCGGAAGTGCAGTGAGAACATTGCTGTGCGATAATTGATAAATTTTGCATGAATTTGCTTGATGCTGCTTGAAAACATGGACTGAGAAGCGTGCAAATTGGCGCAAAAATAACTGTAACGTTCGATAATAGAACAGTACATGCATTCCAAAATATAGGGGAGGTGCAATTGCAAACTGAGTACCTGCAGAGAAAAGAAATCAATACGAAAGAAGTCTATTTTTGGTGGAACGAGTTCGCGATACTCGTGTAAGAATACTTATATGTAAGTCTGTTCGCATAGATTCAGACAGACTTGTCTGGAGTATTGGTATTGTGTACCACTGTAATAGGCTCCAAGCATTGTTTTCATATCAGCTAGAATGATCTCCGTACAATTGGTGTATGGTGCACTGAGAAATGATGTTGTTTCCTTTGAGAATTGTGACGTATGTTTACGATTAGGAGCAAAACCAATCCCGTCGATTTCAATTTGTGGTATTTGCTCATTGTCGTGAAGCTAGAACAAGAGATGAAAGTGGAACACGACTTGTTCGATACAGAGGGAAACGAATTCCTTACCATTGAGACCATTCCTACAGCATCTTTCAGATATGGAACATTCAAAAAATCATAAATGAAAAATCCCATTTCTAAAACACCTTGTCCACCATTGTCTGCGGTAGTACGCACTGATGTGTTGCCATTAGTACTGTCAGTCTTCGCATTGAACATATAGCGCAGTCCATACCTCGAGGATGTAAACTAAATCGGAGGTGTAAAAAACAAAGGAGATAGAGTCAAGAAAAGACTTACTTGAACGAAATCACTCGTGTTGCACGAAAGACTATTATATGTGCAAGAAAAAAGTAACTCCTTTAAATCGAACACGTAATCACTGATGCTTTTATTTTCATTCAGAATTTCAACAAGAAACATATCCATAGCAAATAATAGACGAGGATTACTGAAATCAGGTGGTTTCGAGCTGTTCGACGGAATCAGACCAATACTCTTCGCATAAATAGTGAATGGCCCGATAAGAACATCGTAACGACCGACCCCATAGTTACATACTGTAACAGCTGGGAAGAGCATCGGACATTCAACGACAATATCAACATTCGCACAGTGGGCATCTTTTGCCAGAGCAGGCGGACTTTAGCTTTATGAGTGAACTGAAATTTCATGAATCATTTTTTTATAGGTTTTTCATGATCCTCTTTCTAATGGCATGAGAGTTGGATTTTGAAAAAGTTTTCTAAAGAGTTTTCCAGAGATCCGATGTCTGCAAAACCCTTCAGAAAACTTTCTCAACGTTTAAGAACGATGTCACTGGAAAGAGCATTGTCGAAAACCTATAAGAAACATGTTTCGAATCGTTCAGGTTACTTTATCTTGAAATTCAAATGTTCAGCACGAAATTGTTTGTGTTAATCTCAGAAACTAAGAAAGGACGCGGGCGATTATTTGATGGAATCGGCCCCTGCTTGAATTCCATCGACACATACATGGTTAGATGCAGAATGACCAGCAGAACATTTCTAGCCACCTCAGAGACGTTACAGTTGCGCTAAAAAAAAACTAGGTCGAATTTCCTGTAACCAAAGTTCTACTCTTCTTTGTTCAACGATGACGATTCTGTGCTCCACGTTTGTCCACTAGCCACGCCGATGCGTATACCATTCGATAGAGAATTTCCCGCCCTACAATTTCATATATACAAAGTAGTGAGAAAAATGTCCTAGGGCATCTTGACATTAGAAATACTTTATGCAAAGACGTAGCAAGTGGGTGATTTATTCCACGGTGACGATGCTGTACTCCACACTTGTCCACTAACCACGACGATACATATACCATTCGATACAGAATTTCTCGCACTACAAGATATTCAAAAGAAACTTTTGGGTGTTATCTAAGCAGTACCTTGTGTCATAATCACAAGAAGTCCCTTGCTTTTGACCTTTAGTAAAAGCTGTAACCAACCTGAACAGTGTTTTGAATAGTCCGAAGATTTTTCTATCAGATTAGGTGCAGTCCGCCATTCGTGAGTAAATTGGCTGCAGTTGCGTGAAAAAGCGCTATAGAATGTCTGAAGAAGTCTTATTTTGCTCAGAATTTTTCGCTCTATCAGGCTATATGGTTTGAAAACTTTTCTGGCTAAAAACTAAGGACTTGGTTTTTAAGCAAGCAGGTTTTCCAGAAGCTCTATTATCAACTTTTCTCATGAATGGCGGACATGCACCTAATCTGATAGAAAAATCTTCGGACTATCCAAAACACTGTTCAGATTGGTTACAGCTTTTACTAAAGGTCAAAAGCAAGGGAGTTCTTGTGATTATGACACAAGGTACTGCTTAGATAACACCCAAAAGCTTCTTTTGAATATCTTTAATGACAGGCCTCACGTGTCTGTATATTGTGACCAGCTCACTTTGTAGAGAATTTCAAGGGCTATCCAGTGGTATGTTTTGGAACAATACATAATTTTCATTATGGCAGAAAAACGACTAACGGAGTGTTGAAAGCACTAAGATAGGTCAAAATCATTATATCGGACAAGTATTTCAACCATTGACCCATGTGCGCATATTTCTGAAAGACTTGTTTAGCGCTCATTTTGAGGCTCGTGAATTTCTCTATTGAATGGTATATCTATCGTAGTGGCTAGTTGAGAAACGTTGATCACCGGATTCTCATCGTGGAATAAGCCACCCACTTTTCACGGCTTTCCAGACAGTATTTCTAATGTCAAGGAATCCCATGACACTTTTTTCACTATCATACATATATGAACTAGTCGTGCGAGAAATTTTCTATCGAATAGTATATGTATCGTCGTGATTAGTAGACAAGTGTGGAGCACAGGATCGTCATCGTTGAATAAATCACCCACTTGCTACGTCTTTGCGTAAAGTATTTCTAATGTCAGGGGGTCCCACGACACTTTTCTCACTACTTTGTATTTATAGGAACTTGTAGTGCGAGAAATTCTCCATCGAATGGTATATGTATCGTCGTGGTTAGTGGACAAGTGTGGAGTACAGCATCGTCACCGTGAAATAAGCCACCCACTTTTCACGGCTTTCCAGACAGTATTTCTAATGTCAACGGGTCCCAAGACATCCAAAAAAAGCTTTACTGTTTCGCTTTTTAAGCATACTTTTTGAATCCACGAACATCCACCAACAATCACGAACACTCAAAGAACACCGACGAACACAAAGAAGAAAGGGTAAGAACGCCCCGTAAAGTATGCCAAATTCCATTGTATCGATTCTAAATGAAGATGCTAGTTGGTGCTAATGGCTCTGATGAAATTGTTACTGAACGAATAGGTGGTTCCTTTATTATTCTAAGCGGTGCTAGTAATTCAGATGAGATTGTTGCTGCACGATTACGTGAATCATTCTTGGACTTTAAAAACCATGGGAATATCAAATTATTTTTGTGAATTATAGAACATATGATTATCAACTTCAACAGTTAATAATCATATGTTACACGCATCATCGATAGCATCTTCATTTACAATGGATACAATGGAATTTGGCACACTTTGTGGGTCGTTAATGCCGATGAATGTTGTACTCTTGAATGTGAAACGGATTGTTAGACCTTATCGAGTACAATTTCATATTCTTGGTAATTTCGTGGTTCGACAGAAACACTTTTCGACAGCGCGTTTATATTCGGAGGTTGCTAAGAAAATTAGGGAAAAGAGAAATTGTGAATAGTAGACTAAAGAGTGGAAACAAATACGAAAACCAAAAATGAAGATACAATATGTTTACCGTACCGGATCTTACTTCTCCATGTTCTAATTTTATATGTTCATCAACTTGTCGTTTTATCTCTATATTTGGATATAATTTATTGATATCTAATGGTTGTCGTGTGAATGGACTATTGCCTTTTCCCCCTTATCCACTGTGAAATTGCTTCACGTTCATACGTATGTCCATCTTCTGCTATCACTGGATCTTTATATAAATC